AAAGTTTGCGCTTTTTTTATATAGTTCAAATAATTTAAATAATAATTTAATTTTCTGTGATAAAAATCTGATCATAGTAGATCATTAATATATCTGACATAAGTTTGATTACTTAGTCCGTTTATCACTCTAATCTCCTACGTATACTCTATATTTAATATATTGTAGCTTTTAAAAACTTAGTCGAATAACCTATATTCAGAAAAATATTAAAAAACCAACTGTAAGTATTGTTGTTTGAATCGCTATTTTTAAAGGTTTAAAAAAAGCTTAGTACTTATTAACCAAGGTACAAATTACCTTGCCGATTGCTGAATTACCTTAGCCTATAAGACCAAAAGTGTACCCCGTCGCTAACTTCTGAATTATTCCTCCGTTCTCCGAATTATTTTTACTGTAAATAGAATGAAAGGTGTAGTTTCAGAATTTATATATCGTATCCTTTGCCAATTCGTTTTCATAGCTGCCAATTCGTTTAAAGTATATGCAGTGTACATATCAACCGATTTGGTTTGGCCCCAAAATTAGCCAATCATGATTGAGAATTATTTGTCGTTAAAATTTATTATAGAGTAAGTTTTTACAAAAATGGTTTTTTAAACTTACTTTGAATCCATAATTAAGTGTATATAATATTGCAATATCTATATATTTAATTATTGGCTGAAAGTAAGTTAAAAAGGCTGTTTTTCTCAAAAATCGCCTCCGAATTCACCCTTACCCATTATATAACCGATCAAACAATGACAAACCGATCGTTCACTGCCTGAAAATACCCGAACGCTTCAACAACTAGTGATAGTGCTTTCATTATAGCTTAGAATAGCTGGTTTTTTTAGTATTTATTGCTTATTTATCTCATATAGAGGCTAAAAAAACATCACTAAATGGCAAAAGTTCATGTAACAGTTTATCGAAAAAAGACCCCTAAAAATCAAATCAGTGGCCAATCAAAATTAAAGCCCGCTATGCTGGGGTAGTTAACGCGCATTTAAGAAATAAATTTTTTGAATCTAGTATAATTTTACTTCAAAACATGTCAAGTTCGGTAGTTGATATCAACTTCAGAGTATATCGCTTCAAACAAAAGAAAGACTCTTTTTTCGCGAAAACGGAAGCCCGACTATGGTCATTTCAAAATTTCTATTCTTTTATTATTTACTCTGCAGATGCGCCAAAAACATCCAATGAAATTCTTGCTATATGGGCTGGCAATTTGAAAAGTATTCAAAAATCAAGAAATATTCCAAAGTTAATCACTAGCTTTGCGAGAGACCTAATTGAGTTCAATGGTACTGGAGAGTTTGCAAAAATATAGCGCGCTTGCGAACAGAATTTCCAGGCCCACTTACTTGTAACCCTTTCAAGTGGGTCAGTGACGAAAAGTGAAATAGCACGAGGTTACATGAAACAAACGAATGAAATCTTGACCGGTACAGCAGGAGAAAGGATAAAAAAAGACGAGGAGGTTGAGGAGGAAGACGAATTAAATGTTCAAATTTTACAAAACTTTGATGCAATACCGGTATAGTCAACTTTAAGTGCTAGTACGATCAATAAGTCGAATAATCAATTTAATTACCATGCTTTTCATATTTCTTTGGAAGGATGTTAATCAAGTGTACAGCGATGACAAGTTTACAGAAGAAAATCAAACATGCAAAAATAATCTTAAAAGAAAACTAGGAGATGACGAATTACCAGGTTACGATAGATTAATTTTTCTTTTTAATGATTCGAACGAAGATAAAATTATAGAAAAAATCGATGAAAACATCCTTGAGGAAGAAAGAAAATTGCCACTAGCGAGTAATAACAAAGTAAGATCTTAATGTTTTTGTTTGTGAGCTTACAGTATATATTAATAAGCACATTATCGTTATCTATTCACAATAGGATTCATCTAAATTTATATTTGATGAAATGTTGAATGCATTCCAAACATATCAAAATAAGATTCCTAAAGCCCGCAGAGTATATACATATGTATGGCATCCTTTTTACGACCATGGCCTGATTATTAACCCATTTATTTATCTTATTATTTCACAGCCCTGCGTATTGGGGGGTGCTCGATCTGACCAGAGAAAGTCTATACAGATGCAAAGAAATTACAAAAAACGATTTACAGCAATTATCCCAAGATTTCGCTAATCATATCAAATGGAAATACGAATTGGTCTCAAAAGATATTCAGGATTACTTCGATAGCAGTTGCGAAATACTTGGCAATAGCGATGAGAATAAAGACCTAAAACATTTTGATTCAAATGTACAATTTTTGTATGTATTAATTGTGAATTATGTACTTGATATCTTGCATCGTGTTCTGACTTTGTATTACATTATAGGAAAAATAATATACATTTTTTTCAAGAAATGTTGATGGAAGAACACTTGAAAATGACATCATCGTATCCGTTGTTTCATGGAACATTTACGTCCGATCGTATAAAACACTCCTGGTAAGTTATTTCATTTTCTTTTCATTAAGGTGTTGAATATTTGATGTTGACAGTTATTCTGATATAGGGGGGAGATTCATGTTCTTTCAAGCAGTGATACCCGTAATGAAAAGTCAGATCCATTTAAAAAAGCACGAATGGGTAAGAAAGTCGATATGAAAGTAACATTGTTAAAAACACCAAATAAATTTGAGGCACTTTTTGGTGAAGTTTCAGGTGAGCTAGGACAATTTGGAATTCCCACAGCTTGTCGCAAGAAACGGTTCTTGGATAAAGTGAAATTAATAGTAACAATGCGGGATAGTATAAATCGTCTATTAAAAGAATATAATTATGTATCTAACGAAAAAAGATTAGATATTATAGTTTTTGGCTGGCTTCAATTTGGTAGGTTTAATATGAGAAGAAATTTTAATAATACTCTTGCTAATGGAATCCATTTTTAGGTTTAGAATTAAATTTCTACGCTATAGATTGGATGGGATCTGGTGTATATAGATTCGGGTTGATAGATCAATGCAGAATACCTGCCGATATTGATGATTGCGACATATTGGAAAATGCATATTGCATTCTAAAATTGCTTCAAGTAAGTTGATAGATAAATTATCATAAATAAAAACTATCAAAAACTAACATATTTGTCTAATACAGAGAAAGTTACTTGATACCGAAAAAGCTATAAAAAATCTATTTTCGAACAACACGAAAGGAAAAAGATGACAAATCTTATCAGAAAACAAAGCGGAGTTAAATATCAATTGCTCTC